TCAGTTTAATAAAGCCTTTATGTTTCATGGTTTTCCTTATTTATATTTATTACTCTATAACAATTTATTGAAACTGAATTCTTTGCGATGGAGAAACTTCTTAGACCCGAGAGACTATCAATTTCACCAGAAACAATACTGCCGCACAAGATTGGAACCAGTGGTTTAAAAACGTTTCAAAATTTCATATTATCCTTTTTTGTCTGTTCATCTCATACAGGTCTCCTATAACCTTCCTGTTCCCCTATTCTGTCCCCGATTTATATCTTTCAGAAACCTTAATCTCCTATCATCTTAAGTAAATTATCTTTAGGCAAATCCACCCAAATCCAGACTACCTCTATTTCAGCTGACATACTCAACACTCATTTTGTCTCCTGTACATCCTATCCTCTGTCCAAGCACCAGCTCCACCCCTCATCTCCCCCCTTTAATCCCAATCACTTTTTCTTTTCGCATATTACCCATGACGACCTCCTTAAATCCATTTGCAAATCCCAAACCAAAGATTTCGGACCAGATAATATCCCAGTTAAATTAATTAAATCCTCACTTTCATCCATTTTCCCAACCCTTTATCATATCTATAATTTTTCACTACAAAGTTCCACTTTTCCCAGCACCTGGAAAACCGCCATTGTTCGTCCACTGAACAAAATCTCTAATCCCACAACCCCTAATGATTTCCATCCAATTTCCCTGTTATCTAACCTTTCCAACGAAGAGAACAATCCCAACTATCCCAATATCTTGAACAAAATAACCATTTGAACTGCTTCCAGTCTGGTTTTAGACCTGACTACTCCACTCACCGCCCTCATTAAAATATCCCAAGATCTCCACACAGCCATAAACCAACAGAAACTCACCATCCTGATCCTTCTAGATTTCTCTAAAGCATTTGACTCAGTTGACCATAATATCCTCCAATCAAAACTTAAAAAATATTTCCTTATCATCATCTAGTGGTCCCTTAAGTGGTTCCAATCCTTTATCACCAATCGCTCCCAGTACGTTGTAGTTCCTAATAACCCTCAATCAATGTCTCTACCTCTATCCAGAGGTGTCCCACAAGGTTCCTCATTATCCCCCACCCTCTTTTCCATCTACATCAATGACCTCCCTTCCTCTATCATGCAGTGTCAATATCACCTATATGCCGAAGACATCCAAATCTATCTTTCCTTCAACCGACGAATTCCTCTAATGCCATCCTGAAACTGCAACAAGACATCAACAGAATATGCACATGGGCGAGTCTTAATAAGCTGACATTAAATACGGAGAAGACAAAAGCCATCCTGATCGGATCCCCCTCACTCCTCAAATCCATTTCAGCACCTCCTAATCTTCTTATGAACAACTCACCTATATCCTTCCATACCACAGTTAAAAACCTTGGCATTACCCTCGATCAAACCCTCTCCTGGAAACCACACATCTCTCAAATTTTCTGCCGAACTATTTCTACCCTGAAACAGTTTTAATCATCAGTTATCTTCTTCCGTTCAAAACCCCTCAACTCCTGGTCTCCTCTCTCGTTTCCCCCCACTTCGATATGGACTGGATGTATGGTGGACACTAGGGAGAACTCAAAGCTAAACTTAAACGTCTTATGAATTGTTCAATCCGCTTTATCTTCGGGATCTCAAGAGATACACATATTACCCAGTTTTACACTGAGTTGGAGTGGCTCTATCCGTCCTACTGCCATCAATATTTCCTTGCTACCTTCCTATACCAGGCCATTGGAACACGGCGACCTCCCTAGATACTACAATTCAACACTCCTTTCAATCCCGTCACACCAGATCTCATGCGTCCGACCTCTATCCTCCTACCAAACTGTTGCATTTGATAAATCCTTTTTAATTCAAGTTGTCTCCCTCTGGAACAATATACCCTCAGATATTCACACAAAATCAATATCCTCTTTCAAATTTCTCCTCTTCAAACACCTACTCCATTCCAATCCAATTGATTGAACACGAAATGCACTTAAAAACCTAAGCTGTAAGAATTTCAAAGTACACCCAGATACTCTGATTATTTTGTAATTCATTGATATCTTGTTTACTAAATTACTTTCTCTGTTTATTTTATATTCATAAACGTTTTTATATTTTTTATATCTATAATTTTATTGTAACCATCCTGAAAATACTAAACTGTAGTCTAAGGACACACCAGAATATTACTATACTTTCTGTATTTACAACTTGTTCTAAAGGGACACTTGTCCCAGAATAATAAAATTATTTTCATTCATTCATTCATTCATCATCAGTAAAAGTAAGTAAAAAATCTGAGAATCTACAATTATTAATTAATTTCATTTCTCCATCAGTTTATGAGTACATTAGTGAAGCTGAACATATGTATGAGCTATTAACACATTTATAAAAGTTAAGACTATTAGTGAGATATTCATTCGCCATAAGCTTAGAAGTAGGTGTCAGGAATCTGGAGAAACGACAGAAAAATACTTAGAAGCTTTGAGACGACTCACCAAGGATTTCTTGAGCCTCTTTTAAGGCTCTCTCTGCAGAGGACTACAGGGAGAATCAATTAGGGATACTTTCATAGATGGATTGTTGTCTTCTCGAATTCGTCAAAGGCTAAAAACAACACCCTGACCCTTACACAGGCTTCCCAGCAGGCAAGATCCCTAGAATTGGGTCAGGAGCAGTCTTGGCTATATAACCAGCCAGCCCTAGTCAACGCAGTTGTTGATGTAGGTAGTACTTCACCTCGAGGTAATGAAAGTTTTTAAGAATGAATCTCTTGAATCTAAAGTCGCCATAGCTTTCATCTATCAGAAATGTTTTTCCTGCAGAGCTGTTTCATGTCGGCAGAACTGAAATCTTTTTTGTTTGAATTAGGAATATCATCTAGTAGGACAACACCCTACAACCCGCAAGGTAATGGGCAGGAGGAAAGCTATGTTGTCATTGTATGGAAGACAATCGAGATGGTATAAAGAATTGTGTACTTGATTCAACAAGATGGGAAAGTATTCTAAATGATGCTCTACACTCGATCAGATCTCTGCTATGTATTGCAACAAATGCCACCCCACATGAAAAATTCTTCAACTTTCCACGAAGATCTTATAATGGAATAACAACACCCCCTTGGCTATTAAACCTTAGACCTGTTTTAGCAAAGAAAAATGTGAGACATTCAAAGTACGACCCTCATGTTGAAGAAGTAGAACTTATTGAAATGAATTCTCAAAACTCCTTTGTGAGATTGCCCGATGGGAGGGAGAACCCTAGGGAGACGTTGGACACTAGGGAGAACCCGAAGCTAAACTTAAACGTCTTATGAATTGTTCAATCCGCTTTATCTTCGGGATCTCAAGAAATACACAAATTACCCAGTTTTACACCGAGTTGAAGTGGCTCTATCCGTCCTACTGCCATCAATATCTCCTTGCTACCTTCCTATACCAGGCCATTGGAACATGGCGACCTCCCTAGATACTACAATTCAAACACTCCTTTCAATCCCCTCACACCAGATCTCGTGCGTCCGACCTCTATCCTCCTCCTCACCGAACTCCTGCATTTGATAAATCCTTTTTAATTCAAGTTGTCTCCCTCTGGGGGAGGGAGATATCAGTATCTAATAGACTTATATCACCTCCAGGCTCAATAATAAAACCACACAATGAAGGAGATTTAGCTAACACCCCTGGAACACAGGTGTTATCAAGCCCTGACGAGGTCCTCGACACTCATTCTGCAAACAATATCGCATTATAAGAAGGGCAGATAGAAAATAATCAAACAATGAATAACCAGCAACTTTTAGAAAATGCAGACGAGACTTGTGAGCCTCCTGAATTCCTAAGGAGTTCTAAAATTAGAAAAGTTCCTTCATACTTGAAGATTGTACAATTTCTTGTTTATTTTTCTAAACCGGAGAGGGGTGAATAATATATGATATATTGTGATCTAGTCCCAGAGATTTAATATATATTTAACAGAATAAAACTGTTTCTAAAAACATGTTAGTTGCTTAACCTTATTAATTTAGTTATCTGATTATTGTGTGTTGAATTCAGTTTAATAAAGCCTTTATGTTTCACGGTATTCCTTATTTATATCTATTACTCTGTAACACATAGGAACTGAAGAAGACTGACTTTCTTATTCTACAATGGGTCTGATTTAGCAGTTCAAATGAAATTTTATTCAGTGACGAAGAGAAAATTCCATAAAACTGACGAAGTAATTAAACAAAACAGTCATTACTGATCAGAGCAAAACCTTAAACGTTAAGACTACACAAGAATTGCTATACTTTGATAGGTGGGCACAAGCTATCATGATTAAACTATAAATTCAATTCTAAGAATGTCCAAGTGTGTTAGTGTTCATGAGTATAACCACCCTTAAATTACATCAAGATTTAATAGAAGAATTTGGTTCTGGTAAGATGATGCCTGCTTGCCATACATCAAATCCTTCAATTGAAATAGTAAAGCAATTAGTCCCCAATGGGGCTGATTACAAAAAGAGAGACATTAACTAGCCACAACAGAAGGCAGAGACTTAAGTCATATAGAAAATTTTGTATGGAGATATCTTAAAGAGGTAGTGTATGATAATAAGCTAAGGATACAAATATCAAAGTAAATCAGCGGAAATTTTATCAATATCTAAAGTCATTTAGTCATTGGAAATCGTCACTTGAGCCATGAAGCATCAGATTGCGTTCAGAAAAAATTCATACAATATTACTTGTAGTAATTTTCTATTGTGTCCTATATAGGTAAATTAATTTCCTAGAAGATTTTTGTTTTAAACTATTGACTTTTAAAAAGCACTTATCCTTTTCAAGCAATTTACATTAATTCACCTTGTTAAATGAATTACCTCAAATATGATATAAGATACTTAGAAAAATAAGATAACAAAATGAACAATATAGAGTTAGTTCAATTTGAAGCATTAATTCATATTAATGATACACACAGAATTAATAATACTTACAGCCATACTTGGGTTAGATTTTGTTATGTAAATTACTGAAGGAAAAAATTGCTTTTTTTGATAGTAGGCATTTCCGATGACTATCGTTGTAAGAACAAGACTTAAAATAGTTATGCTTAAATTTCTCATGATGACCATCATTAAAACAATACTTAATCCAGGAATTGAATTTGTTTATAGTGGCATAACGATACAAAACCATTTCATTATTAGATAAACTCTATCACAGGGTAAACATTTTTCAGAACCTTCTGAAACTGTGACAGCTCTACAACTACTCTACAACTACAAATCGAAAATTATTAACTCAGATTCAACAAAGAGATCGAAGAATCAAATTAACCTCAGAAGAATAACAGATCAATTATTTGATATTGTGTTATCATAGATAACATCTAATTTATACTTAGGAAACTAAAATGTAATTGAACTAAAATCCTTATTAATAACTATAATATTAAGAGATGGAAAATTCTATTTCATCTAGACCCACGTCGATGTTTGAGGACATCTCATTAGTCTCTAAAAGATTTCATAGAAATTTTACACTTCTTAGGAAGCATATTTTGTTCTTGGGATTCAGTCCAGTAATATCTCCAGTTCTGAGTATTACCTAATATTAGAGCCATAGTATGTAAAAGAAAGTATCACAGTTTCAAATAAAGTGATGAGCCTTTTCTTTATCGTCTAAGAGGATATTAGGAATCCTACTCCATATCCATCTCATTGAGATGATATTTTACGGGAAGGATGCCCACAAGGGGCATCTTCATAATTGTTTTAAATTTGACCCTTGTAAGCATAGGCGCCGGCACTAGGGGAGGGGGAAAAGGCACTTTCTGCTCCCCCCTCTCCTCAATATTAAGTAAGTTATCATTGCATAAGATTAACCTTTTAGGATTTGCCATTAGCCACAAATCAATCAGTCCGGATCCTGAGCGGTTACAACCTCTTCGCGACTTGCCTATCCCGATTAGCACATCAACACATCATCTCTACGCTGCACAGTGGGCCGAGTAAAGGAAAACTCGCGACATCGGCTAAATCAATTTTTTTTAATTGAATTATTCAATGAAAACAGTAAAAAATGTATATGATACTGATCTCCGCCAACAACATAAGATATCAATAAAACAATTCATCTCGTTTTTTTGAGTTCTAAAAAAAAAAAAAAAATGTAGACAGTTTCAAATAGATGTCGCGATTTTCCCCTGACTCGTCCCACTCTGCACCGGACCCTTGGCATGTTACTAAAGTTTGCAAACAAAAATCGAGTACTGGTCAAAAGTTCCCTACTTCTAAATTCACAGGATGTAAGAACATTCGAAAATATTAAACCGGACATCGAAAACGCATTAGTATCATTAATTGATTTCGCTTCTGACTTTGCTATCGGAGTCACGTTATCCCAAGATAAGAAACCGGTAGCTTTTTTTTCAAGATCTCTAACTAAGGCTAAACAACGTCATTTATCTATTGAAAAGGAAGCGTATGCCATTGTAGAGGCAGGAGTGGAGACATTACCTTCGTGGCAGAAACTTTCCCCTAATAACAGATCAACGATCAGTCTCGTTTATGTTTAGCAGTAATAATCAAGGAAAAATCAAAAACAAAAAAATAATGAGGTGGAGATTGGAACTCTCAAATTATAAGTACGAAATTATATACAGACCAGGGAGTGAGAATAAGACTGCTGATACCCTTTCACGAAGCTGCTCTTCAATAGGGAGTTCTCTTCCCAAATTAAGAAGTCTACATGAATTGCTATGTCATTCGGGAGAAACAAGGTTATACCACTGGGTACAAAGTAAAAATCACCCCTACTCATGAGAATAAATACGAACAATAATGTCAAAATGTCGTATTTGCGCTAAAATGATACCTAGATTTTTCTAGTTTTAAGGCACACTTATCAAAGCAACACAACCTTTCGAAAAGAATTGTCATGGATTTTAAAGGCCCTTTGCCTTATTCTTCAAAAAATCAGTATCTACTAATACTCATCGACAAGTATTCGAGATCTCCTTTCGCGTTTCCATGCCAAGACATGTATCCAGAACTGTGATCGCAAAACTATTTCAATTTTTGGAAAACCTGCGTACTAACAGAGGTGCGTACTAACTTGGATACTAACAGAGGTTCATTTTTTTTTGTCTCAAGAACTCAAATCTTTTCTAACGACCGTTGGTGTTGCTACTAGTCGAATTACTACTTACGATCCCCCAGGGGAATGGACAAGGTGAATGTTACGTCGGAATAGTTTGGAAGACCATTGAACTGGCAGCAAGGAATCAAAATATTGACATTTTTAAATGGGATAATGCTTTCCATGAAGCATTACATTCCATCCGTTCACTCCTTTGTATACCAACCAATACAACTCCACATGAACGCATGTTTAATTTCCATCGCCGTTCCTGCTTAGGAGTATGAATAGCGACATGGTTAATCAAACTCGGTCCAGGCAGAAAGAGATCTATTCGTCATTCGAAATATGAACAATACGTTGATGAAGTATTTTTACTAGGAGGAAACCCGGAATATTGCTATGTAAGACTCCCAGAAGGAAGAGAGACTATAGTGTTAACTAGACATCTACCTTCTATAGGAGAGACAGAAACACTTCAAATAAGAACAAAAGATCTAGGATCAGCTGAAACACTACCTCCAGAGATGGATGTTACTGCTCCTCCAACTTCAACGATACATATAAAATAGAATTAAGAAATTATAGATAGAAGTACAACGTGAATAAAAACAAAAATGAAAGAAAATTCTAACATATTGTAAGAAAATTACATTTAAATATTAGATAATATTGAGACATAATGGTTAAAAGTACAATGAACAAAGTAAAAAATGGATGATCTTACATTGATGTAGGATGTAAATATAAAATTGAAAACAAAAGATCATACAAAGCGGAAATACTTTGATGACGGTTTATTTGCTTGAGCTTTGTTGCAGATTCGGGTACCTCACTTTCCAAGGTAAATTCTGTAACCAGATTTCAGGTCTAGCCATGGGGAACGCTTTAGTACTAATGATATTTCCAATATTGTTCTTAATGACCTAATTGTAATAGTCTCTTTATTGGGGAAACCAAAAACCATCTCAAAATACGTATTTCCAAACATAAAACATCCATAACTTCCCGGAACCCTTCCGCCTCAAAATTATCACAACATGCCTTTCAGATAATATACAAAATTCATAAAATCGACTATAACCTACTTACCTCTTGGCGTTAAGTCTCATAACAAACTTTATTTCCTTCTCACCAACTTGAAGAATCCCACTTTTACTTTTACTTTTAGGATACCACACCGATCTAATGTAGTTTACTGGATACCTTGCTCTACTCCTAATTGTAATAGAACTACATTTCTATAACATATAGGCATATTTCAAACTTATTTATCACATCTTCTATTATTTTTTATCTACGTCTTATTTTTTATCTATTTTCAATTTTTAATGATTAATTTAATTTAATCGTTCAACTTTTTAAAGTATTTCCGCTTTATATGATCTCCTTTTATTTTTAATTTTATATTTATTCTCTCCTCCAGCACTTACTAGACAAACACTCTAACCTCCCAGTCAATTACAAAAGACTCATATACATGACTACAATAAGACCTATTTGGACTTACGGAGTTGAGCTCTGGGGCTCCACTAAGCCATTGAATTCCTCTCGTATTCAATCCTTACAATCCAAAATCCTTCGTAAAATCCTCACTGCTCCTTACTTTGTCACAAACAAAAACATCCATAACGACCTTAATGTTCCTTATGTTTCTGACCTGGCCCAATCCAGGTACCTATCCTTCCATAACAAACTTCAGAACCATCCAAACCCTCTCGTTTCTAACCTTGCTTCCTCTTTGATCCCTGACAACCCTCAGAGGCGTCTGAAAAGAAGATGGCCTTTTGTAAATACATTTTTAGAGTGCTACCAATGGGTAGTTTCTCAACATGTGATTTCATGCTATTTTATTCCTTTGTTCACATTTACTGAATGTATTTTTACTTGTAATACAGTTGTAAATATCATCAATAAAAAAAAAAAAAATAAATTTATTCTATAGCATTTCCAAGTCAATTTCAACCTTTTCGAAGTCAAATTCAAGTATTCATATGTTTCCGGAACCGTAGATTTCGAAAATTATCTTCATTTTAAGATTACGCCACTGCGTTTCGACTTATTTGAGTTTTTCGGATTTTTTTCATATAAGGGTGTATTCTTATGTTTCCGGAGCCGTAGATTTTGAAAATGGCCTCCATTTTAAGATTACGCCACTGCATTTCGACTTATTTAATTTTTTTTTATTTATTCGATATAAGGGTGCGATTACTGCGTTTATCGTGCTCTCGACCAATCTCTGATGGCTATAGTACCAGTGACGCGGTTGGGAGAGTAGCGCAGGGTTCTCCTGGAGTTCCCTCGCCTCATTGTATATAAGTATGCATGTGTTTTTTTTTCTTAGTTTTAATTTTCTTATTTTTTATGATATTTTATTTTATTATCTATTGTATATACTTTTGATTATTATTTTGTTCTATTTATTTTATTTTTTAGTACATATATAGTGTGAATGTCATCCTACCTCACTATGAACAATGTCCAAGAGACAGATTGTTATAATACTCAATAAAGAAATTAAAAAAAAAAATTATCGGTAGATAAGTCCATTCGAATGTAATTTAATGATGGGTTTTTAAACTAACACAATATTGACTGGTTTACCCATGTTGTTATGGCAAATATACAGCAAAGAATGATCTTTGTTGTTGTCATTGTAGTATCATAAATCCTCGTTTTTAATCTCTCAAAAGAAAAATGAGTAATTCTTTTTTAACTGGAGCTAACAGTAAACAATTAAAACTGTGCCAATACTTTTTTGACCCTCAAAATTTACTCTTTATTTTATTTAAAAATTGCTTTTGAATTCCGAACATTCATTGCTTTTAAATATAATACCCAAAGACCACTTTGTTATATAAATATTATTTCATGAAAATATCATAATCCTATTGAAATTTTCATAAAAATTAGAGTGTGCCAATACTTTTTGACTCACTGTATATTATATTGGAAGTGTGTGTGTCAGGTGATGGCACAACTGACTCATAGGTTT